AACCTACACTTTGTGTACACTTTCTAATGCTAGGATAAAAGCTAAAATAAAAACAAACTAATGCTGCAAGCTGTGATGTTGATTTAGATGTCGCATATAAACTTCCAGATCATCCTCGCCCTCATCCAGCACAGTATCGTCAGCAGCAGCAGCTGCAACGGGATCCTCTCCGTCACTGGACTCAAAGTAGGCATCCTCTTCGTCTCTTTCGATTTGTTTTAGATCATCCAGCTGAGCGTTATCATCGACGGCTGTGTAATCGAAGTCTGTGTCCTGGCCACTGAGAAAGCGTTCCTTCATTAATCCCATAAACTCGTTGCGCAGCAGCTCCCTTTCACCTGGATTATAATACTCCGCCGTTACAATATGATTGTTTGGAGCTAATGGGGATTGAGTATTTCGACTTGAGGAGCAGGCCACGGGCTCGTCGTCTTCGAAGCCTCCCCATTGCTGGCGACATGAGGCGGGTACTTCACACTCCACGCTCGCTGTGGGCGGCTCATGCATCTCTGTGTTGGTGTCAACCTGTTGCTGCAGCAGTTCCTCGCGCTGTTTCTGTTCCAACGTATGCATTAATATGCCTGAGAAGCTTGTGTTTTTTACATCGTAACTGTCTCGTTGTTTCTTCTCCTGTTCCGTTAGATATTGGCCGACCAGCTCCTGGTATAGCTCCGGTGCACGCTGCATCATTTCGTGCTCGCTGAAGTATTCGCCCTGCTGCAACAGCTGCTGCATGGCATGATATCTCCTATTCTTGATGCAAACGCCTCGTGATAACAGCTTCCTTTTAAAATCATCGAGCAGCAGACAAATTTCTTGAAGATTCTCATTGGGTTTAATGGGTTCTGTTACACCCACAGTCTGAAAATCGCTTAATTGTTGCTCGGTTAGGTAGCTGCCAAATCGTATTAAGAAATTTTCACGACTTTTCTGAAATGCATCTTGCGCAATTTGCTGCTTTTCTTCCAAATTTAACTCCGGATCGTCAATTTGTTGAGACTTAAAAATAATATTTGCATTTTCGGCAAGTGCTTTGAATATACCCATGAGTTGGTCTGGTAATTCAACCACTTCTGAACACTTTTCGCAACTCGAGGTCTCAGTTTGTGTCATTTTGTGAAATAAAATATATGTAAACAAATTCTTCTTCTTACACTTTAGCATTCGCAATGAATATTTCTTAGTTAAGAATAGCTCTGTAATTTGAACAGATGAACTTGTTCATATATTCAGTCATTCAAAGAGAACAGAACTTGTTTAATTATTCAGAAATTTATAGGCTTTCTAAATTCGTATAATGAATACCAAATTTAATTAATTAATATTGTTTATATTTAGTTATATTAGTTATATACATATTATCAGATGGTCGTCTGAAATCTTGCAGACATTGATTGAATTTTAAATACCAACATGTACATATTTTGTCAGAAGCACGAGCAGAAACAAAATATCGATAGGTGATGTAGGTTTTTTATTCATCACGACAGCTGGTTCCTAGTTATAAAAAAAAAGCGGCGTCAGCTACTAACTAACGCTCAATCTGCGATCTTTTGTGTTTTTCCTGTTGCAAAACGTGACTACATTTAAATAGATACCGATATTTTTCTCCTAAACTATGGCCGAAAACGATGTTACGAAAAAATCTGATGATGATGTGAAAAATATAAGACGCAAATATAGACAAGCAAATGGTCTTAGATGCTTAATAGAATCATGTGGTGCGAGCTACAGGACAAGTCTCGAAAATAATCCAGTTAAATTATTTTCGTTTCCAACAAAACTATCTAATGTAAACAAGTGGATTAAAAAATGCAACTTATCCAATAATTTGGATCTTAAAAGGGCTAGAATTTGTAACAGGCATTTCGAAGAGAAATATATTTGTGGTCGAAAAGTAACGCCCGATGCAATCCCAACATTAAATTTGTGCAAACCAAACTTCTCTTATGATATTGACGACTTTAGGGATGCCATTTTTTTAGTAGGCAGTGACGAAGAGGAAACGGAAGAGGAAGAAAAAGAAGAACAGAATATTAAAAACATTCGGATTGAAAATGATCGGGATGCAAATATGAAAAATGAATGTGCCGACGAAGAATCTGTAGATACTTTACTGAGCTTTAAAAACAAGCCAAAAAATCAAGATTTAGTCGACGTTGATGGCTCATCCTATTGCTCAAATTGTATAAAGAAAGAGCAAAATGAGGTATACTATAGAAGAAAATATTATAATATCGGAATAGAGCTTACAAGAGTACAGGAAAAGTATATTAGTTTAAAAAAAAGGTATCTTGCTTTAAAGCAGGCCTCTAAAGACAGAGACATTTCATTTAACACTGGGAATTGTTCAAGCAATTCAAAGCTGAGCTAAGTACACGCCGGCGCTTACGTCCCATTCATTCATATATATATATACATTCATATAAATGTAAAGTATTATCGATACTTTACACGGAAGCAGCAGCACCGGCATCGGTGGCTGCCGGCAGACGAGGCGGAAACCTCCGTAGCCGGCGCTGTGTCGTCCAAGAGAAAACCAAACGAGATCATATACAAAGATTCTTCAACCCTTCTGAAAGGTACTCAGTCTTCCAATCCGCACAATGATTACTGCCAGCATTTTGTGGACACTGGTCAAAGGCCACAGAATTTTATACGCGACGTCGGACTGGCCGATCGCTTCGAGGAATATCCGAAACTGCGTGAGCTGATTAAGCTGATAAATTCATCCAAGACACTGCATCGGCGCCCATGTATCTGAAAGCAGATATGAAAACCTTGGGCAGTAAATTTGACGTTATTCTCATCGAGCCACCGCTTGAGGAATATGCTCGAGTAGCACCCGCTGTTGCGACAGTGGGCGGAGCACAACGGGTTTTCTGGAACTGGGATGATATACTGAGTGAGCTGCACACTTGAAGCTTAAAAAATGTATATAATAGTCTTTCTATATATATATATAGATATGGATGTTGGCGAAATAGCTGAACATTGTTCGTTTGTCGTTCTGCGGTCAGGTTCATCGGAGGGTTTGGGTCATCATTGAGGCTTTCATCGTTACGAGAACATCTACTGGATATGCAATAACAACAAGAAGCCTGGTTAGTAATCCAACGCACTAAGGAAAGGAACACTGATGGGCAACGGCGTTGCCGTATCCGAGGGAGCGCAGAACAGATGCTTTGAGAAACCTATCTTTCATATCATTTATTGAACATTTTTTTTTTTTGCCTGGATCATCGACGTTTCCATATGTTTGGTCTCTATTCAAGCATACAGCCCAGCTGGCGAAATGCCAGACGTTATGTACACTTTCTAAAGGTAGGCTTGCAGCTAAAACATAAAGAAAATAATGATGCATACGGTGATTTTAATTCAGATTTCGCTTCACTTCCAGGTCATACCTCCATAATATCAGCATATCGTCTCCATCACTGGAATCTTCATCTCTTTCAATTTAGATCTTCCAGCTGGGCGTTAGTATCGACGGCTGTGTAATCGAAATCCGCGTGCCGGCCGCTGAGAAATCGTTCTTTTATTTTTGTAGAGTTGTTCTATAATTTAAACAGCAAACTTAATCAGCTATTCAGTCAAATAACTTTAATTTTTAAAATTTTTATATTAATTAATATTAGTAAGCAATGTATTTAGACATAAACACATGACTAACAACAAAAAACAAAAGATCTATTTATTTCATCTACAATCTAGCAATAAATACAATAATTTGATTGCTATATTAAAAATATTTATTTTAGTTTTTGTCTTTTTGACATTGGCTTTGGCGATTCATTTTCATTAATTTATCAACAGCAGGAGCAAATATGGCAAAAGTATCGATAGCTTCGTGTCGTCTAATGTCGACATTCACGAGTGAACGTCGCAGCTGTTGATGTAGTTTTTGTATTCGCCGTGCCAGCTGATTCTTAGTTATTAACAAGAGCGGAGCCAGCATCAACGCACAATCCGGGCAATAAATATACATATATATTACATACGCAGATCAAACAGACCCGTTTTAAAGGACTGATCAGTTAGATGTTATAAAGTCATATGTCACTTAAGTTGACACTAGACCTCGCAACTGAACGGTTTATCTTGTGATCTTTAAAAGATTTTACTGTTGTAAAAAGTGACATATCTTAAAAGTATTTAAAAAAAAAAAAAAAAAAAAAAAATTATGACTGGTATTAGTGTGAAGAATAAAGGTCGAAAGGATACACGAAAAAGTGATTGTAGATGTATAATAGAAAATTGTGATGCTAGCTATAGGAAAAGTTCTGAAAATAATCCGATTAAACTATTTAGATTTCCTTCAAAAGCTTCTCATTTAAACAAGTGGATTAAAATATGCGATTTGCCGAATAATCGTGACTTTAAAAGGGCCAAAATATGTAGCAGGCATTTCGAACAGGAATGTATTGGTAGACGAAAATTGAGAAATTATGCAGTTCCAACCTTACATTTGAACAATCGAAACTTATCCTGTGAGATTGTTGACTTTAAACGTAACTTAAGAGCTAATGAAGTCCCACCCTTACATTGGAACGATCCAAACTTATCTTGTGAGACTGTTGACTTTAGCGATACGACTTATTTAGGAGAAACGGTCGAAGATGAACAGGAACAGGAAGAAAAGCAAGAGGAAGTGAAAGAGCCACTGCAGATTAAAAATATTCAGAATCAATATGACTATGAAGAATCTGTTGAGAATTTTTTGAGCTTTAAAAACAAGACAAAACATCAATTGTGGCAGGATTTAGTAGACATTGATAGTTCATCCTATTGCTTAAATTGTATAAAGAGAGAGGAAAATGAGGTATATTATAGAAGAAAATATTATAATATCGGAATAGAGCTCACAAGAGTACAGGAAAAGTATATTAGCTTAAAAGAAAAGTTTCTTGCTTTAAAGCAGGCGACTAGAGACATATCTATTCATTGAAAACTAGGAATCGTGCAATTAATTTAAAGGTGAGTTAAAATGTGGACGTCCCATTTATATACACATTCAAATGTAAAATATTAATATCGATAGCGATTGTGCACAAAAATATCGATAGCTTCATGACGCTTAAAGTGGTGTCTGTCATTCACATGTGAACGTTGCATCTAGTTCTTTAGCCTTTAGTTCTTTATTCACCGCGCCAGCTGTTTCATATTAATAAACAAGAACGAACGACAGCTAAGCATTGTCGCGCAATCTGGAAAATAAATATACATATGTACATATAAATATATATCACATAGGAATTAAAAAAAAAAACCTTTAAAAGACGTAGATGTAATTTCCTACAAGTTAGTAACCAATCCAAAGTGGAAGCGCAGGCATACATATGTCGCTTTAGTGACCCAACTTAGTGATTTACAGTGTAATCTTGGGTGTTTCTTCTGTTGCGAAGAGTGACAAGGTTTGAAAAGGTTTTGCTCAGAACTATGGCTGAAAATAATGTTATACAAAAATCAAATGTTGGTGTAATAAATAAAAGTTTAACACAAAAGCGAGGAAATGGCGCGAAATGTATAATAGAAACATGTGGTGCGAGCTATAGGAAATGCGCCGACAATAATCGGGTTCATTTATTTTCGTTTCCCTCAAAAACTTCTCATCTAAACAAGTGGATCAAAAGATGCAATTTACCGAATAATCTTAACTTTAAAAGGGCCAAAATATGTAGCAGGCATTTCGAACAGGAATATATTGGTAAACGCAACCTAAGAGCTAATGCAGTTCCGACCTTACATTTGAGCAATTCAAACTTATCCTGTGAGATTGTTGACTTTAAAGGTAACATAAGAGCTAATGAAGTCCCGCCCTTACATTGGAACAATCCAAACTTATCCTGTGAGACTGTTGACTTTAGCGATACGACTTATTTAGGAGAAACGGTCGAAGATGAACATAAACAGGAAGAAAAGCAAGAGGAAGTGAAAGAGCCACTGCAGATTAAAAATATTCAGAATCAATATGACGATGAAGAATCTTTAGATAATTTTTTGAGCTTTAAAAATAAGACAAAACATCAATTGTGGCAGGATTTAGTAGATATTGATAGTTCAACCTATTGTTTAAATTGTATAAATAGAGAGGAAAATGAGGTATATTATAGAAGAAAATATTATAATATCGGAATAGAACTCACAAGAGTACAGGAAAAGTATATTAGCTTAAAAGAAAAGTTTCTTGCTTTAAAGCAGGCGTCTAGAGACATATCCAATCACTGAAAACTAGGAATCGATAAAATAATTCAAAGGTGAGTTAAAATTTGCATCTAAATATAAATGTTACATGGCATTTAACATAGAAGACCCTTTTTAAAAGACGCTTTACTTAGACGTGAATTCCTACATAGCGCATATATGTATGCTGTCACTTTAGTTGACACTATCCCTCCCAATTTAGCGATTTACATTGTGATCTTGGGTGTTTCATCTGATGCGAAAAGTAATAAAAAATATAAATTGTAAATATAAACAAGGAAATGGCGGAAAATGTATAATAAAACAAGTAAGAAGAGACTGCTCGACTGGGAGATACTCTGAACCCTCCAAGCTGATATTTTACTCATTTTGCACTTCTTTTGTGCTCACAAGCATAAACACGCATCCGCACGCACGTATGTATATCACGCGCAGCGATTGCGCTTGGGCTGCGCTGCAGTGTGGGCAATATTATGAGAATTTATTTGTTGAATAATTTCTCTTGTAGTAAGACTATCTTTTTGAAAATTTCAGAGCGTATATGATCACGCTGGTTAAAATGTATGTATGTACATTCCAAAGCAAAAGTCTCTAGTACTTGAAATGCGTTTTTTATAAATTGGGGGCGAAGGAACTTGGTATCTAAAATCAAAAAATTACAAAATCTTTGTATTCATTAACTTTATACACAACGCAATTTTTTGAATTTGAAGTCTCCAGGTCTAATTAGGCTGAAAAAAAATAAGGCTGAAAAAACAAAGTGGATTTATCGATTATTCTCGATAAAAAAGTTATCGGATAAGTCATGGAAAAAATAATATAAGCTTGTACTGCCAATGCTATACACGGGTATGCATTCCAAATTTCAGCACACTAGCTCTTATATCTTCTGAGATCGGTTTGCTCATACCGAGGACGGAAAAATAATCGGATTATATTACTTTCATTCCCATCAAATAGTTTGCATTTAAACAAATGGATTAAGGAATGCAATTTACCAAATAATCTCAACTTTAAAAGGGCTAAAATAGGAAGCAGGCATTTCGAAAAAAAATCGAAAAATCAATTGTGGCAAGATTTAGTAGAGATTGATAGTTCATCCTATTGCTTAAATTGTATAAAGAGAGAGGAAAATCAGGTAAATTATGGAAGGAAATATCATTATATCGGAATAGAACTTACAAGAGTACAGGAAAAGTATATTAGTTAAAAAAAAGGGTTCTTTAAATAAGTACACACCCACCCATTCATATATATGTACCTGCATCCAAATGTAAAGTATTATGGATAGCAATAGTACACGCAAACATCTATAAGCTCTTTGTAGCCGAAAGAGCAAACTTTCAATCATCAGTGAACGTCGAGGATTTGTATTAAAATAAAGCAACAGCTAACTAGACAGTAAATGGTTTTCCAAAATAGTATTTATCATTGCTAGGTGCTATCTGTGGCCTCCATTTGGCTTGTTCAACTGCACAACAAACGCAAATGCTGGACTTCTGCTGGCCGAAACGGTGATTTGTAGTAAATTAGCAGTGTCGAATTTCGGATGATTAATTTTATTTTTTTTTATATATATATAATTTATTTACAATTTTCAGCTTGGAAAAACTTGCTGGGCTGTGTGGCAGTAATTATGCCGGCAGCTCAATGCCTCTTGTCAAAGGGATGAGGAGAAAAACACCTGCGGCGGCGCTTCGTGCTCTAAGAAAAAACAGAAAGAGATCATATACAAAGATTCCTTAATCTTTCTGAAAGGTACTCAGTCTTCCGCACAATGGTTACTGCCAGCATATCCGAAGCCGAGTGAGCTGATCAAGCGAAAGGATAAACTCATCCAGGACACCGCATCGGCGCCCATGAAGGAATCTGAAAGATCTTCAAAATTTGATGATATTCTCATTGAGCCACCGCTTGAGGAATATGGCGGTAGATTTACATATATTCTATATTTATAGACAATATAGGCGATCATTAGCGTTGGATCAGGGTCGAATTTATTGAAAAAAGCCCATCGAATTGGCTATCACCTCTTCACCTCTTTTAATTTGATTTAAATCATCCTGATCGCTATCCTCGACGCGAACTTTGATTAGCGTAGTGGTCACTGCAAAAATGTTCTTTCATTATGTAGAGCTGTTCTATAAATAGCGAAGCCTGTTCAGTTATTCAGTCATTGATAAGCAACAGAAGAACTTCAATGATTATTAAAATTATTCATTAATTTATAAGCATTGAATTTAAATGTAAAACATCTTAGCAACAAAAGATAAAAAGAAAACATGAAATTTTTATTCTATGTAATTTCGAGTTCCTAATTAAGAATTTGATTATATATGAATTGTATTTATTTCAGTTATTTTGTTAAATATTTTTTTATATATTGAAAATAAAGATATAGTTCCCTAAAAATGTAAGTAGCAAGCAGAAGAAGGCGTTGCAGATCATATAAAGTATATAAAGTAAACAAGTTACCATTAATTTTAATTTTAAATGTGTGTATATGTGGACGCACGAAAAATATCGATTAATCGAAAATCGAATGAACGTCACAGCTGTTGTATTCGCCGTGTCAGCTGTTTCTTAGTTATAAAGTATAGCGGCGACATCTAAACACGGACGATCCGGACAATAAATATACATATATTTTGCATACGCAGATCAAATGGACCCGTTTTTGAAGACTCATCAGTTATATGTCATAAAGTCATACAAGTGAGAAACCAATTCAAAGTATTAAGAAGCGTCTATGTCACTTAAGTTGACGGTCAACCACGCAACTGAGCGGTTTATCGGGTGATATTTAAGTGATTTTACTGTTGCAAAAAGCGACGAAATTTGAATAGGATTTATATATTTTTTTAACTATGGCTGGTATTGGACTGAAGAATAAAGGTAAAAAGGATTCACGAAGAGGTAGTGAGAAATGTATAATAGAAAATTGTGATGCTAGCTATAGGAAAAGTACTGAAAATAATCCGATTAAACTATTTAGCTTTCCCTCAAAAGCTTCTCATTTAAACAAGTGGATTAAAATATGCCATTTGCCGAATAATCGTGACTTTAAAAGGGCCAAAATATGTAGCAGGCATTTCGAACAGGAATGTATTGGTAAACGTAACTTAAGAGCTAATGCAGTTCCAACCTTACATTTGAACAATCCAAACTTATCCTGTGAGATTGTTGACTTTAAACGTAACTTAAGAGCTAATGAAGTCCCACCCTTACATTGGAACGATCCAAACTTATCCTGTGAGACTGTTGACTTTAGCGATACGACTTATTTAGGAGAAACGGTCGAAGATGAACATAAACAGGAAGAAAAGCAAGAGGAAGTGAAAGAGCCACTGCAGATTAAAAATATTCAGAATCAATATGACGATGAAGAATCTTTAGATAATTTTTTGAGCTTTAAAAATAAGACAAAACATCAATTGTGGCAAGATTTAGTAGATATTGATAGTTCATCCTATTGCTTAAATTGTATAAATAGAGAGGAAAATGAGGTATATTATAGAAGAAAATATTATAATATCGGAATAGAACTCACAAGAGTACAGGAAAAGTATATTAGCTTAAAAGAAAAGTTTCTTGCTTTAAAGCAGGCGACTAGAGACATATCTATGCATTGAAAACTAGGAATCGTTAAAATAATTTAAAGGTGAGTTAAAATTTACACGTACAATTCATACACACATCCAAATGTAAAATATTAATATCGATAGCGATAGTGCATACAAATATCGATAGCTTCATGACGCTTAAAGTGGTGTCTGTCATTCACAAGTGAACGTCGCAGCTGGTTTTTTAGTCTTTAGTTTTTTATTCCCCGCGCCAGCTGTTTTTTTTTTTTTGTTTTTTAGTAATAAACGAGAACGGTGATAGCTAAACAATAACGGGCAATCTGGACCATAAATATACATATGTGCATACAAATATAGATTGAATAAGCATATAGAAAAAACCCTTTTTATAAGACGTATTAGTTAAATGTAAATTCCCACAAGTTAGAAACAAATCCGAAGAAATTGAAAGCGCACATACGTATACTGTCACTTTAGTTTACAATAGCCCTTCCATCTTAGCAATTTTTAGTGTAATCTTGAGCGTTTCTTCTGTTGCGAATAGTGACAAGATTTGAAAAGGGCTTGCTCGGAACTATGGCTGAAAAGAGAGCTATAAAAAAAACAGCTGTTGGTCAAAAAAATATAAATTGTAAATATAAACAAGGAAATGGCGCGAAATGTATAATAGAAACATGTGGTGCGAGCTATAGGAAATGCGCCGACAATAATCGGGTTCATTTATTTGCGTTTCCATCAAAAACTTCTCATTTGATCAAGTGGATCAAAAGATGCAATTTACCGAATAATCTTAACTTTAAAAGGGCCAAAATATGTAGCAGGCATTTCGAACAGGAATATATTGGTAAACGCAACCTAAGAGCTAATGCAGTTCCGACCTTACATTTGAGCAATCCAAACTTATCCTGTGAGATTGTTGACTTTGAACGTAACTTAAGAGCTAATGAAGTCCCACCCTTACATTGGAACGATCCAAACTTATCTTGTGAGACTGTTGACTTTAGCGATACGACTTATTTACGAGAAACGGTCGAGGATGAACATAAACAGGAAGAAAAGCAAGAGGAAGTGAAAGAGCCACTGCAGATTAAAAATATTCAGAATCAATATGACGATGAAGAATCTGTTGAGAATTTTTTGAGCTTTAAAAACAAGACAAAACATCAATTGTGGCAGGATTTAGTAGACATTGATAGTTCATCCTATTGCTTAAATTGTATAAAGAGAGAGGAAAATGAGGTATATTACAGAAGAAAATATTATAATATCGGAATAGAGCTCACAAGAGTACAGGAAAAGTATATTAGCTTAAAAGAAAAGTTTCTTGCTTTAAAGCAGTCGACTAGAGACATATCTATTCATTGAAAACTAGGAATCGTTCAATTAATTTAAAGGTGAGTTAAAATGTGGACGTCCCATTTATATACACATTCAAATGTAAAATATTAATATCGATAGCGATAGTGCACAAAAATATCGATAGCTTCATGACGCTTAAAGTGGTGTCTGTCATTCACAAGTGAACGTAGCAGCTGGTTTTTTAGTCTTTAGTTTTTTATTCGCCGCGCCAGCTGTTTATTTTTGTAATAAACGAGAACGGCGATAGCTAAGCAATAACGCACAATCTGGACAATAAATATACATATGTGCATACAAATATAGATTGAATAAGCATATAGAAAAAACCCTTTTTATAAGACGTATTAGTTAAATGTAAATTCCCACAAGTTAGAAACAAATCCGAACAAATTGGAAGCGCACATACGTATACTGTCACTTTAGTTTACAATAGCCATTCCATCTTAGCAATTTTTAGTGTAGTCTTGAGCGTTTCTTCTGTTGCCAATAGTGACAAGATTTGAAAAGGTTTTGCTCGGAACTATGGCTGAAAAGAGTGTTATAAAAAACACAGATATAGGTACCAAAAATAAAAGTAAAAAATGTCAAAGAAATGGCGGGAAATGTATAATAGAAACATGTGGTGCGAGCTATAGGAAATGCGCCGACAATAATCATTTTCATTTATTTGCGTTTCCCTCTAAAACTTCTCATCTAAACAAGTGGATCAAAAGATGCAATTTACCGAATAATCTTAACTTTAAAAGGGCTAAAATATGTAGTAAACATTTCGAGCCGGCGTGTATCGGTAAACGTTACTTAAGAGATAATGCAGTCCCAACCTTACATTTGAACAATCCAAACTTATCCTGTGAGATTGTTGATTTTAAACGTAACTTAAGAGCTAATGAAGTCCCACCCTTACATTGGAACGATCCAAGCTTATCCTGTGAGACTGTTGACTTTAGCGATACGACTTATTTAGGAGAAACGGTCGAGGATGAACATAAACAGGAAGAAAAGCAAGAGGAAGTGAAAGAGCAACTGCAGATTAAAAATATTCAGAATCAATATGACGATGAAGAATCTGTAGAGAATTTTTTGAGCTTTAAAAACAAGACAAAACATCAATTGTGGGAGGATTTAGTAGACATTGATAGTTCATCCTATTGCTTAAATTGTATAAATAGAGAGGAAAATGAGGTATATTATAGAAGAAAATTTTATAGTATCGGAATAGAACTCACAAGAGTACAGGAAAAGTATATTAGCTTAAAAGAAAAGTTTCTTTCTTTAAATAAGGCCTCTAGAGACGGAGAAATTTCGTTTAAAACTGCGAATTGTTTAAACAATTCTTAACTAAGTTAAGTACATACCAATGCTCACGTCCCATTCATATATATGTACATGCATCCAAATGTAAAGTATTATGGATAGCAATAGTACACGCAAACATCTATAAACTCTTTGTAGCCGAAAGAGCAAACTTTCAATCATCAGTGAACGTCGAGGATTTGTATTAGTTGTTAGCTACGAACAAGAAAAGCAACAGATAACTAGATAGTAAATGGTTTTCCAAAATAGTATTTATCATTGCTAGGTGCTATCTGTGGCCTCCATTTGGCTTGTTCAACTGCACAACAAACGCAAATGCTGGACTTCTGCTGGCCGAAACGGTGAGTTGTAGTAAATTTGCAGTCTCGAATTTCGGATGATTTATTTTATTTTATTTTTTTTATATATATAAAATTTATTTACAATTTTCAGCTTGGAAAAACTTGCTGGGCTGTGTGGCAGTAATTATGCCGGCAGCTCAATGCCTCTGGTCAAAGGGATGAGGAGAAAAACACCTGCGGCGGCGCTTCGTGCTCTAAGAAAAAACAGAAAGAGATCATATACAAAGATTCCTTAATCTTTCTGAAAGGTACTCAGTCTTCCGCACAATGGTTACTGCCAGCATATCCGAAGCCGAGTGAGCTGATCAAGCGAAAGGATAAACTCATCCAGGACACCGCATCGGCGCCCATGAAGGAATCTGAAAGATCTTCAAAATTTGATGATATTCTCATTGAGCCACCGCTTGAGGAATATGGCGGTAGATTTACATATATTCTATATTTATAGACAATATAGGCGATCATTAGTGTTGGATCAGGGTCGAATTTATTGAAAAAAGCCCATCGAATTGGCTATCACCTCTTCACCTCTTTTAATTTGATTTAAATCATCCTGATCGTTATCCTCGACGCGAACTTTGATTAGCGTAGTGGTCACTGAAAAAATGTTCTTTCATTATGTAGAGCTGTTCTATAAATAGCGAAGCCTGTTCAGTTATTCAGTCATTGATAAGCAACAGAAGAACTTCAATTATTATTAAAATTATTCATTAATTTATAAGCATTGAATTTAAATGTAAAACATCTTAGCAACAAAAGATAAAAAGAAAACATGAAATTTTTATTCTATGTAATTTCGAGTTCCTAATTAAGAATTTGATTATATATGAATTGTATTTATTTCAGTTATTTTGTTAAATATTTTAAAAAATGTAAGTAGCAGGCAGAAGAAGGCGTTGCAGATCATATAAAGTATATAAAGTAAACAAGTTACCATTAATTTTAATTTTAAATGTGTGTATATGTGGACGCACGAAAAATATCGATTAATCGAAAATCGAATGAACGTCACAGCTGTTGTAGCTGTTGTATTCGCCGTGTCAGCTGTTTCTTAGTTATAAAGTATAGCGGCGACATCTAAACACGGACGATCCGGACAATAAATATACATATATTTTGCATACGCAGATCAAATGGACCCGTTTTTGAAGACTCATCAGTTATATGTCATAAAGTCATACAAGTGAGAAACTAATTCAAAGTATTAAGAAGCGTCTATGTCACTTAAGTTGACGGTCAACCACGCAACTGAGCGGTTTATCGGGTGATATTTAAGTGATTTTACTGTTGCAAAAAGCGACGAAATTTGAATAGGATTTATATATTTTTTTTAACTATGGCTGGTATTGGACTGAAGAATAAAGGTAAAAAGGATTCACGAAGAGGTAGTGAGAAATGTATAATAGAAAATTGTGATGCTAGCTATAGGAAAAGTACTGAAAATAATCCGATTAAACTATTTAGCTTTCCCTCAAAAGCTTCTCATTTAAACAAGTGGATTAAAATATGCCATTTGCCGAATAATCGTGACTTTAAAAGGGCCAAAATATGTAGCAGGCATTTCGAACAGGAATGTATTGGTAAACGTAACTTAAGAGCTAATGCAGTTCCAACCTTACATTTGAACAATCGAAACTTATCCTGTGAGATTGTTGACTTTAAACGTAACTTAAGAGCTAATGAAGTCCCACCCTTACATTGGAACGATCCAAACTTATCCTGTGAGACTGTTGACTTTAGCGATACGACTTATTTAGGAGAAACGGTCGAAGATGAACATAAACAGGAAGAAAAGCAAGAGGAAGTGAAAGAGCCACTGCAGATTAAAAATATTCAGAATCAATATGACGATGAAGAATCTTTAGATAATTTTTTGAGCTTTAAAAATAAGACAAAACATCAATTGTGGCAAGATTTAGTAGATATTGATAGTTCATCCTATTGCTTAAATTGTATAAATAGAGAGGAAAATGAGGTATATTATAGAAGAAAATATTATAATATCGGAATAGAACTCACAAGAGTACAGGAAAAGTATATTAGCTTAAAAGAAAAGTTTCTTGCTTTAAAGCAGGCGACTAGAGACATATCTATGCATTGAAAACTAGGAATCGTTAAAATAATTTAAAGGTGAGTTAAAATTTACACGTACAATTCATACACACATCCAAATGTAAAATATTAATATCGATAGCGATAGTGCATACAAATATCGATGGCTTCATGACGCTTAAAGTGGTGTCTGTCATTCACAAGTGAACGTCGCAGCTGGTTTTTTAGTCTTTAGTTTTTTATTCGCCGCGCCAGCTGTTTTTTTTTTTTTTGTTTTTTAGTAATAAAGGAGAACGGTGATAGCTAAACAATAACGGGCAATCTGGACCATAAATATACATATGTGCATACAAATATAGATTGAATAAGCATATAGAAAAAACCCTTTTTATAAGACGTATTAGTTAAATGTAAATTCCCACAAGTTAGAAACAAATCCGAAGAAATTGAAAGCGCACATACGTATACTGTCACTTTAGTTTACAATAGCCCTTCCATCTTAGCAATTTTTAGTGTAATCTTGAGCGTTTCTTCTGTTGCGAATAGTGACAAGATTTGAAAAGGGCTTGCTCGGAACTATGGCTGAAAAGAGAGCTATAAAAAAAACAGCTGTTGGTCAAAAAAATATAAATTGTAAATATAAACAAGGAAATGGCGCGAAATGTATAATAGAAACATGTGGTGCGAGCTATAGGAAATGCGCCGACAATAATCGGGTTCATTTATTTGCGTTTCCATCAAAAACTTCTCATTTGATCAAGTGGATCAAAAGATGCAATTTACCGAATAATCTTAACTTTAAAAGGGCCAAAATATGTAGCAGGCATTTCGAACAGGAATATATTGGTAAACGCAACCTAAGAGCTAATGCAGTTCCGACCTTACATTTGAGCAATCCAAACTTATCCTGTGAGATTGTTGACTTTAAACGTAACTTAAGAGCTAATGAAGTCCCACCCTTACATTGGAACAATCCAAACTTATCCTGTGAGATTGTTGACTTTGAACGTAACTTAAGAGCTAATGAAGTCCCACCCTTACATTGGAACGATCCAAACTTATCCTGTGAGACTGTTGACTTTAGCGATACGACTTATTTAGGAGAAACGGTCGAAGATGAACATAAACAGGAAGAAAAGCAAGAGGAAGTGAAAGAGCAACTGCAGATTAAAAATATTCAGAATCAATATGACGATGAAGAATCTGTAGAGAATTTTTTGAGCTTTAAAAACAAGACAAAACATCAATTGTGGGAGGATTTAGTAGACATTGATAGTTCATCCTATTGCTTAAATTGTATAAATAGAGAGGAAAATGAGGTATATTATAGAAGAAAATATTATAATATCGGAATAGAACTCACAAGAGTACAGGAAAAGTATATTAGCTTAAAAGAAAAGTTTCTTGCTTTAAAGCAGGCGACTAGAGACATATCTATGCATTGAAAACTAGGAATCGTTAAAACAATTTAAAGGTGAGTTAAAATTTACACGTCTTAATCATACACACATTCAAATGTAATGTAGTAATATCGAGAGCGATTGTGCACAAAAATATCGATATCTTCAGGGCGCTTACAGTGGTGACATTCACATGTGAACGTTGCACCTGGTTCTTTAGTCTGGTTATTTATTCGCCGCGCCAGATGTTTCTTATTAGTTAGCAAGAACGGCGACAGCTTAGCATTAACGAATAGTCTGCAAAATAAATATACATTTATATTACATACGCAGATCAAGTGGACCCTTTTTAAAAGACGCATTAGTTAGATGTCATCAAATCATACAACTGAGAAACCAATTCAAAGTAATAGGAAGCGCATATGTCACTTTAGTTGACACAAGACCTCGCAAAAAGATTTATTATGTGATCTTCAAGTGTTGTAAAAAATGACAAATTTTGAAATAGTTTTATGTTTATTAGAACTATGACTGAAAAAAGTGTAGTAAGAAAATCAGGGGCTGGTGTGAAAAATAGAAGACGAAAAAAATATGCTCCAAATACATTCTACAAATGTATAATAGAAAATTGTCAGGCGAGCTATGCGAATAGTTCCGAAAATAATACGATTAAACTTTTTACATTTGCATCAAAAAGATATCTTTTGGATAAGTGGATTAAAACATTCGATGTACCTAAAAATTTTGATATGAAAACGGCTAGAATATGTAACAGGCATTTCGAGCAGAAATATATTGGTAAACGAAAATTAAGAAACAATGCAGTCCCAACCTTACATATGGACAAACCAAACTTTTCTTGTGTTACTTCGGACTTTAGTGATATAATTTATTTAGTAGACAGTGATGAAAATGATCAGGATGAGGAAGGGGACGAAAAAGAGGAAGACAAACAGATGATTGGAAATGATCAGAATGAAAAGCTGCCGACTGAATGTGCCGATGAAAGGTCCAAAAATCAATTGTGGCAAAATTTAGTAAACGTTGATAGTTCATCCTATTGCTTAAATTGTATAAAGAGGGAGAAAAATGGGGTATATTTTAGAAGAAAATATTATAATATTGGATTAGAATTCACAAGAGTACAGGAAAAGTATATTAGTTTAAAGAAAAGGTTTCTTGCTTTAAAACAGGCTTCTAGAAACAGAACCATTCAGTGAAAACTACGAATCGTTAGAATTATTCAAAGGTGAGTTAAAGAACATAAATCAATATGTGTACTCATATCATATTCACACATTCGATAGCGATAGTACACAGACACATCGATATCTTTATGTCGCCTTTAGCGGATACTGACATTCACGAGTGGACGTTGCAGCTGGCAATAGAATTTTTTCGCCGCGCCAGCTGTTTTTTAGTTATAAACAAGAGCGGCGACAGCTAAGCACTAATGCGCAATCTGGTCAATAAACGGTTTTTCACAAAAGCATTTATCTCTGCTAGGCGCTAGACCCGTGCGGCGCGCGTTTCTTTTTGTTCGACTGCGCGACAAACGCAAATGATGACTAACACACTAAGCTGTGTGAAAATAAGATCAAATTTCGTAAACGCCATTGTTTGAGCACGTTAATTAAGTAAATACGATGTCGGAAACCGATTGGAATTTTGCATGGAACTGGACACATTTCTGCCCAACGGGTCTGAAGCCATTTGCCAACGATACGAACGATCTGTTGCCCTGCTTCCAGAAAACACTGCTGCAGTTGCCTATTTACACCATTTTTGCAGCAATATCCGCCTACAATTTTGGCAACCATACGCAGCAGATAATACGCAATGGGCTTCAGATGCAAATGCTTACATTGCGTATATTGTTCAGTATTATTTTGGCCATATTACCTGTATCAAAGATATTCGTATTCCATCGAGCAGGCGTCGATTTGTATGCCGTCGATATCTTAGTTGTCGGCGCCGAGTGCATCATGTGGGTAGTTCACTGTGGTGAGTCCCCCCAACAAAGATGTTGCTATTATTGTCAATTCAAACCGACTCATGGATACTTTGCTTTTAGGTTACCTGCTGACTGCTCGGCACTATGGTAAGCTGAGTCACCGTGGTCCTTTGTTGATGAATGTCTTTTGGCTGACGGTCGTTGTGCTCGATGGTGTTTGGTTGCGCACGAGCCGCCATTTCGAGTGGTGGCCATGGAGTCTGGCCACGTTACTGTGCGATTTGTGCTATGCCGCCACTCTGGTGCCGAAGGGTAATGCCATTTACTGTGCCGCGCCTGCCGGCAGTAGAGATCGCGAGCAAGAGGCGTTGCTGTCCAATCGCTATACCTATTTCCATTTTGAGTTGAATGAGGCGCTGCTCGGCCATGCCCAGGATGAGGCC